CGCCCCGCTCTTGCCGGCGTGCGTGCGCCGGTGGTAGAGGAACTTGGTCATGTTGCTGAACGTCTTGCCGCAGCGGCAGCGATGCAGCGGGTTGGCGGTGTGAGCCCGCCGGTGAGCCACCAACGTGAGCTCGGTGCCGAAGCCGCGGCCGCAGTCCACGCAGAGGTAGCGCGCTTCGCCGCGGTGCAGCCGCAGGTGCTGCTCCAGGGAGGCGGCCTTCTTGAAGACCTTGGAGCAGGTGGTACACTCGTGCGTGCCCCCGATGTGGGCCCGCCCGTGCGCCAGCAGCCGGTTGGCCGAGCTGAAGCTGCGCTGGCACTGGGTGCAGTGGAAGGGGTGGGCCGCCGATGCTGGGCCGCGGGAGGCCCGCCGGTGTCGCCGGCGTGCCTCCGCGGCCGTCCAGGGTTGGGGACAATCCGCACAGCCCTGGGCCCGGCCGGCTGTGGACCTGTCGCCTCCCGTAGCATCCTCACCGACCTCTGCCGCCACCTCCTCTTCCTCCTCTGTGTCTTCCTCTGTGTCTTCCTCCTCCTCCTCTTCCTCCTCCTCCTCTAGCCCGTTGCGCTCTTCTTTCTCTAGGGAGTCAAAGTGGGTGCCCTGATGCTCCAAGAACTCCTCGGGAGTGGCACAGAGGGTAGAGCACTCGGGACACTCGTAGGGCTCCATCTTAACTTCGGGTGGAGCGGGGGGTGGCGGGGGTGGCGTCGGCGGGGGCAGCGGGGGCGGCCCTGGTGGCTCGGTGGCTGCAGCAGAAAGGTGCCGGGCCTTGCGATGAGCCACCCACAGCTCAGGCGAGGGGAAGAGCTCCTGGCAGTCCCCGCACTGGTACTGGATCTGGCTTGCAGACTCCCGGAGGTGGGCGTCCTGGTGGGCCAGGAGCTCGCCGGGGGACAGGATGAGCTGGTTGCACTCCCCACACTGGAAGGGCCCTTCCTCAGGCCCTGCCATGAGCTCGGGCTCCAGGCCAGGATCCTGGGCGGCCAGTGCCTCGTCCTCAGTGACAGTGGGCACATGCTGTTCCTGGTGCGAGAGGACTTCCTCCAGCGTGTTGTAGAGACTGCCACACTCAGAGCACATGAACTGGTGATGCTGGAAGAAAAGGGACGAGGCCAGCGCCTCCCCAGGTGTCATCTCGGTCACCTCTGCTGACATCTCCCCGAACATCGGTGTTGACGTCTCCACGGCCCCTGGCGACATCTGCGTGGGCAGCTCAGCCACCTCAGCCGCCACCTCTGCCATGGTGGGGGGGGCAGTGCCTGGAGAAAGCAGGGGGAGCTGGTGAGACATCAGGAACCCAGGGGCGGCGGGGGCGGGGGGGGGCGGCTCAGGACCTTCCCCGCTCGTCCCCTCACTCACCAGACTATCAATCAGCAAGCCTGGATCCAGTGCTGGTACCTCAATTTTCAATGAACATGTGACTCCGAAGCGGATGCACACCCCGTGGTGCCAGACATCTGTAAGACAGCGACAGCCCCCTTCCGTCTGGCCCCTGATGCTACCGTCCCTCCTTACCCGGAGGGCCACCCGCACCCTTGAGAGAGAGAGAGAATGAGAGACAGAGAGCACGAGAGGGAGGAGGGTCAGAGGGAGAAGCAGACTCCCCGCCGAGCAGGGAGCCCGATGCGGGACTCGATCCCGGGACTCCAGGATCACGACCTGAGCCGAAGGCAGTCGCTTAACCAACTGAGCCACCCAGGCGCCCCACCTGCACCCTTTCTAAGAACACGTGTCTCTTTACGCCTCTTGACCTTTGCCTGGATGGTTTTCTCACTGGGCACCACCTTTCCTCCTGCCATATGGACACATACAGAGCAGCAAAGAGTTCAAGAGCACAGGCTCCTGGACCAGACTGCCCTTGGCTTGAATCTGAGCTCCAGCACATTATTAACTTTCTCTCTCTGATGCTGTTTTGTCACCTGTGAAAGGGCGTAAAAGTAGTGCTGACCACAAAGGCCCTGGTGCCCGAGAAAGGTCAGACAGAACCATGACTTGTGGTTCTCCAGAACTGTTGTTCCTGAACCCGAAGTCTTTCCTGTTACTATTCCTTCTGCCGAGAAAGTTCTCTCCTTTTCTGGTCTAGCAAAACCGTGCCCAGCATTTCCTTTGTGAAGACTTTTCTGACATCTCTACATCCTCAGGGGGATGTCCACTCCTTTTTTTTTTTTTTTT